TTTGAGTTTTAACTGTCCGATTGTCTGCAGGTTGTTTCCGTAGACTATGTCCTTAAAAAAAATCCAAAGATAATAATTAAAGGGGCCATTCATGTGTAAACTTTTCGCCTATGTTATGGCGTTCCCTAAATTCGTTCTTACAACCACACAAGGTCCACTCTTGACGATTGCTGTGTGGCCCCTCCTACTGAGGCCCGGCTTCTACAGCAATACCACTCCTTTCCCCAAACTTCTCCAAAACTTTCTCAGCACGGTGAGATATCCATCTGATGTTTACTTGTCCAGGAACCTGAACATGCGGATCGCGCCCTTGTAGCTGAAAGTTTTTAATCAAGAGGTAATATTTTGCGTTTTAGGCAATACAGTCTGAAATTTTGGAGGAAAAAAAATCTTGATATTTCTCGAACACTTTATTTGATTTTCTTCATACTTACAGACTTGATGTCCTCACGATAACTACCTATACAAATTTCTCACTGACATATGAATAAAAATTGTCTTTTTCATTGTTGCTGTCATTGTCATTGTTGCTGTCATTGTCATTGTTATTGCCATTGTCATTGTTATTTCCACTGTCGTTGTCGGCCGTTATAGGTCATTGTTCAGACTGTGGTGTTGACTTCCTTGACACAGCTGTGTTGTTGACGTTGCCCCTTTTCAAAGGCGACTTTAGGGGCACCTGTGGTGTACAGTTCGCCGCCTGAAGCAGGTAACTTGAGTTCGATTCCCGTGTAGGACAGGAGTCTTATCGAGTCCCAAAATTTTAATGCATCTCCGTCTTTCTGTTGGGATGTTGTAGCCCTCAAAATTTTAGTTGGCCCTGACCGGCAGGGTCGAAGCATCCCACTTCGGAAATGATCTAAATCGTGACAGTGGGGTGTGAAACTTCAACAAATACATTTTATAGTAAGTAGTTGTTGCAATCATCTGCCTCTGCTATTATTTTTTAAATCTTTTTTTGGTCTATTTTCTTTCTGATAAAATCTTACCCTCGTCTAAAATACAGATCAAAGGCAAAGATGGCCGTCTCAGTCGCCTTTGTGTATGGAGCAATCCCGGAAATGACGTCACTGGTGTGCTGGCACGTTGCGAGAAAATGGCGGGAACTTGTGAGACAGTAAGAAACAGACACAGCCTCATTTCTCACTCTGCGGTGGTGGAAGAGCAAGGCGTCTATGTCATTCCCTTGTACATGTCACTACCCTAGGTCTAGAAGAACAAGGACAAAGTTCTATATGCTCAGTACCTAGTTTTGAGAAATTCCAGAAAAATAAAATTGAGTTTCACATGTCAAGTTTTTTCGAAAGCAATTCTTTGAATATCTTGGTAAAAACTCTGAATAATCTTACAATTTGGATAGAGAAGGCAGAACGCTTTGGTTTCTGGCCTCATGACCTTGGTAACTCAAATCAGCCAAAATGTCAGATATAACTTTATAATTCTAAGGTACCGATGTATTGCGGTCTAAAACAATCGCTTATCATCATCATCATCATCATCATCATCATCATCATCATCATCATCATCATCATCGTCATCGTCATCATCATCATCATCATCATCATCATCATCATCATGCAGTGGTAGATAGACCTACATTATGACCAAGAACCAAAAGTAATTAAGAAAGATACAGAAGAAGTTTCCTTCCTTCTGCGATAAAGCTTCTGTCGAAATTAATATTAATGTGCACTGCTGTTGATTAAAAAAAATAAATCTATGCACTCAATATGTTATATAATATACTTTACATATGACATAATACTATACATAATAGTTATATAATATATCGATACAACTTTTTAAAAATACATGTATGTGAAAAATTCTTGCATGTGGTTTGAGAGATGCATCTGATGCATCTTCTGTCTCTGTCTTCCTTACACATTCCTTCCTCATTCTTACTCGTCCCTTTTCTGCCCTCCCCTCCCCTCTCCTCCTCCCCTCTCCTCACCCCTCTCCTCCCCCTCTCCTCCCCCTCTCCTCAACCCCTTCCCACCCCACCCCCACCCC